GATGCACAGGTAAATAAAGTTGTTATCATCATCATTAAATTAATTTTCCTTCAATGAAATAATTAATCGATTTGACTCGTTTAGGGAAATGTTACAGTTGTGACGGAAACTTCTGATGGTCGACGTCAAGTTCTCAATTCACGGCTGAGTGATGCACCGCATAATGTAAGTCACGAAATTCAGGGGATACCCATTCAGAATGAAGGATTATCTCAGCCACGACAAAGTCAATTCCAAGGTCAACAACCACCATTTCAACAGTTTCAGCAATTCCAAAGTCAACAATCATCATTCCATCCATTTCAAGATCAACATCAACAACAATTCCAGCAATTTCAACAGCAATTTCAACCACAGGATCCTAATTCGATGTATGAGCAACGCTCACGAGGTAAATCGACGAGTTTTTTTTTCTTTTTTTAAGAATAAATGTTTTCTTTGAGTTATTTTTAAAAATTTCCATTTCATTATTTATAGGCAATAGACATTCATCAAATGGTCATCATAATCATGGGTTCTTTCCTCGAAGGAGATAATTTATTATTCACTCATAAGAAAGCAACAAATACCAAGTCATTCTTTTACCCTTTTTTTTTTTAAAAAAAAAAAGATTCATCATATTTTTTCAATTCTTTCAATTCTTTTCTGATTTTATGTAATATAAAAATAATTCGTTATGTTACTTTTTTTTTTTTCTTTTTTTTTTCTGATTAACATTTAGAAACAATACATTAGCTTAACTTATCAACAATATAAATTGCATCCATCTTTTTTGGTTTAATGGCGCAGTACACGATAATCTTTTTTTAGCCCACATATAGCGCATTATGCAGAGTAATTAATAGCTTACTTGCCGCAGTTGTTAATTGGGTATGAATTGTTTGTATTCAAACTTATTGGTTAAAAATTTCAGGCCAGTTGATGGCAGAATCGAGTTACAAATAAACAATTGAATTACAATATCTTGTTCGTCTTATCTCGTTCGTACATGTTTATATTTGATGAAGATTATGGTAGTATAATGAATTGTTTTTGATGCACATTACATTTGAAGGTCACAACCATTTGATTGAATAAAATAAAGTAAAATAAATAAAAAAAAAATAGGAATGTAGTGTGCAGTTTAGATGCAAATCACAATTCAAAATCTTACACATTCAATTATTTAAACTTTTAAAGGAGGGAAAATCGAGAACGAATAATTGAAAATTTCTTAGACTTTGTTAAGAAAAAAAAAAAAACCTCTTTGTTTGGGACGATGGTCACACCATGACGATACCATCTTTCTTATCACCACCAGCCTCATTTTGGACAAGATTTACCGAGAAAAGTAAAATTCAATGTCGGCGAAATCCATTAAATTCTCATGAACGCCACAATATCAATTAGGGAATAAAACGTCAATAATAAATAACGATGATGATAATAATAATAATAATAATAATAATAATAAAAAGATTCCGAGAATTTTCTTTTTTTTAAGCCGGACTGGAATAAAATTGATTGTGATGTCATGTATATTAAGAATGAAGGTAATCCAATCATCATTCGGAAAAATTTTTGGAAAATTTCATATGTTAGTAATTTCGGTAAATGAAATTCCGCATGCTCTGAGATCAAGTGATTGGAGTTAAATTAAAAAAAAAATTCATGATATAAATCACAACATGACTTTCCTATTCATAGGTTACTATAGCATACAGACCGTGCGCCTTTAGATATTCTTGGTTTATCCCATTGGATTTGATCGAAGGATCATACATAGGCAAACAAGTGAGGCGAAAATTAATGTTTAAATTAATTTATATTATCCAAATCCGCGTGTGGTATTTTCAAATGTATTAAAAAAGAAAAAATAAAAGAAAGAAAAAAAAAAAGGTAATTTAAGGGTTATTTATAGGGCAGCAAATTATAAAATAAAAATAAAATAAAAAAAAAAATCATCATATGAAGCACATTGTTAAAATAGTTGAACAAATCAGATTCCCAAAACAAAATTCTATTTCATTTTGTGTATATCCGAAAAGCCTGTAAATCTTATAGAAATTATTTACTTTATTACCAAAATATGAATAACAATAGGTTCATAAGGTAGGGAATAAAAACTATATAAATGACAAAGTTGCCCCAATTTTAAAAAATTTATTCTTTCTTGTCGTTTGAGTGTCAAGGTTTGATCGCGACTAAAAGAATTCAATTACGATATTATTCAAGCTTTTTTTTTTTTTCTTTTCATTTCTTCAATAAAATTACGTTAAAAACATAAAAATTCTTCCTCTCTTTTGATGACTAAGTTTTTTTTAAAAAAAATTACAATCCTTAAGATATTCATACGTTTGTTTTAAACTTTAAATTTCTAAATACGATAATTTTTTTTTTTAAAAAAAAAAATTAAATAAATATATATGTATATATATATATAAAAAATAAAAATAATTAAATATAAAAATAAAAAAAAAAAAAATACGCTGAAAATATATTTATATATTTATATATATATAAAAAAAAAAAACTTGTATTCGTTAAAGTTCTTAGTCAACAAAATTCTTGGCTTCTTTAAAGTCTGTAACTATTTCTCAGCACGACTCTTTTCCATCTAAAGGGCGTATCTCATTTGTTTGTACTAACCGGAATATTTAGGTGAGTTTATTATATTTTTATATTTATATATGATAATGTATCCGAATTCCATTTAGTTATTTTATTACAGGCGCGCGTGCCTGCTATACCGTGCTTGGTTGCACACTATTTTTTTTCCAGAATAACAAAAAATGCACCTGTTTAAAATACTCTTAAAACCCTTAATTGTTTCATATATTACTAAATAGTTATAAAGGGAAAAAAAAAAAAAAAAAATTTGCAGATGAAAATATACTTACTTTTTCTCCTATTTACTCATACACTTATATATATCTCCCTCGACTCCTGACAATACAAAACGTATCTCTTGAACCTTTTCCCCCCTCCCCACTCAATTTAAAATATTTTTTACCCATCAACGAAATGTTTTCAACGATAATTTGTTGTTAAACACAGTAAAACATGAATCGATCAAAATCTTCTATATCAACTGAATATAATAACTTGGGTCTACACTCTGGTGCTGCCGCAGGTAACCTTGGTAAGTTTTCAACCTTTTGTTACATATATTCTAGGGAGTGGGTTAACATTTTGGCGTGGCAACAAATTGGTCGTGTTTCGAATTCACAGAGTTTGTGAACTTCACGAAAGGACGAATTCGAGTTTTTGCATTTTCAATGAAATTCAAGTTATGATCATTAATAATTAAGCGCCTTTTTTATTTTTTTTAATGAACATGTAGGATTGGTAAAATTTGCATTAGATCATGGTCAACCAATCGATTCCGTGTTGAACGGGGTCTTACCAATCCATGTCGCGTGTATAAACGGAAACGTATCTGTAGTACAATACCTCATTGAACGGGGTGCGGACGTGAACGCCCCAAGGTAAGATAGTTCTATTATGCGATTAATCTTTAGCGCATGAAAATCAAATGTCATTACTGAATTCATTTATTTTTTTTTCCTTTCATGAATTGTAGACTCTCACACAAATTTAATGGTACCGAAAAAAATAGGGCAACGGATCAGACAGTAGGAACAACTGGATCAACCGCATTACATTTTGCTGCCGCGAACGGATGTACTCAAACAGTTGAACTATTATTAAAAAAGGGTGCAAGGGTGGACGTTGCCGACAAATACGGTTCAACTCCATTATCGGTAGCAATGGCAAAAAATCATGCTGATGTCATTGAACTCTTGAAAATATATGGTGCGATTCAGGCCGCCGAGAAACAAAAATTTATTGTGATGGACGCTTCTAGCTCTTCAATACACATCCCAACCACAACGAAATCTTCGAAAAGTTCAAAAGACAAATCATCAAAAAGTGCGAAAAAGACGAAGAAACCCACTGTTGTATTTCCAATTCCAAAAGATCACCAATTCAATTCTAAATCGATCAAGACGCGTCGACCCAGTTTACCCGTTCAATTAACTGAATCAGATGAAATAAATAATGATTCTATGGAAAGTGTACTTTTAAAGAGACAACCTTCAAAGTCAATGGAATTGCCTTCACATTTAAAATCAAGGGATGATATTTTTAGGGATGATGGATTTATTAGTGATAACCATGAAACAATGATTATTGAATCGTCAGATAAACCTTCAATAGATATACCTTATCACTCATTGGACGAATCTTCTTTACCCGAAGTTAAAAAACTAAAGTCACCAACAAAAGAACTTTTTCGTAAAAGTTTAACTCTTACAAGACAATTAACTTCGACTTCTTTAACTTCTTTAACGTCATCAAAAAGTCGTTCGCCTGATCGTCGATTTTCATTTTCTTCTTCACCTGCTACTCCACAATCAAATCCATCTGCTACTTCTCTTCTAATGACCTCTCCAGAAATACCCAGTTCTCCGTCGACCACTTCTACAATGCCTACAGAATACGGTGGTGATCCTGATTTCATTTCATTACCTCCTGCAATTACAGAGAAAAAGAAGAGAAGGTCAACAGATCCTTTACGTGACTTGAAATCGAGAAGATGGAGATCAAATGAGGCAAATGATGATGGTGCATTGACGCGTTCAATTTCCGAAGGTGGTAGCGGTGTGAACTTTTTTTTCACTCCACAAAGCAAAAAGCAACATACTTCTTCGGAAAACTTTCAACCTGCAGAAAGCAATGGTAGCAGTAGAAAGTCTTCATTTTCTATGAAAGGATTATTTGGAAAATTAACGGATTTGGTTTTGGGAAAATATCAAAGTCAATAAGTATATTTTGACTTTCTTTATATATATATATTGGTTTATTGTAAATTTATTTGTAGAAAACAAAAAAACAAAAAAAACAAAAAAAAAACGAACGAACAATTATATTTTTATCATCTTTTTTTGATTTACATTTATATATATATTACATAGATTGGTTTGTTATCACTTTATGCATTTTTTTGAAAACATTTTCTCAGTTTATTTCTTTATGAGAAGAAAGTCCCTGACATTGTTATAACAGCACATGATTTTTTTTTATCTTTTGTAAATAGCCCTTTTTTTTCTTGTACCATTTTTTTCGATCTTTTTTTTTTTTTTCTTTTTTATATATAAAATTTTTTTCTTCTTTTTTATTTTATCCTTTTTTTTCTCAGTGATATATTGTATTATTATTAACACAACATAAACTTGAATTTTTCCTTTTTTCTTTTTTTTTTCCCTTTTCTTTTTTTTCCCCTCAAATTCAAGATTGTTTTTTTAAAAATAAAATATCAATTTTTTTTTTATATATATCTCTCTCTTTATCCAGATCATTTTTTTTTTTTTTTCATTTATTTTTTTTTTGCATCGTTTTTTTTTTCTTTTTTTCCTTGTAAATTCCTTGTAAATTTTTTTTTTTTATGGATCCTTTTTTTTTTTTATCATTCACTTTAAATTTCATAGGGTGAAAATAGGAGTTCGGTGATATATTTAAGGATTAAAAATTATTTTTTTTTTTATTTTTTTTTTTTTTTTTCAGTGCTAGACTTAAATAAAAAGTTAAAAAGATTTAATCTTTGGTTTTTTTTTTTAAAAAAAAAAGTGCTTCAATAAAGAACTTTATTGACATTTGAACGAATAAAAAGCAAATGTTTATAACTTATTTATATAAGTGTTTAAATATAAAAAAAAAAAAAAAATAATACAAAATTAAAGAAGTTATCAAAAGTGTAAAGAAAATTCAAAAATTAAAAGATTAAATAATGGAACGATACTTTATTTTAAATAATGATCACATATTTTGAGCTTTGACCACATAGTTCTGATAAAGAATGTCCATAAAAGATGGATCAGACTATCAAAAGAAAGTGACAGTTAGTAAACAAATCTTCAGGAAAATTATCACTTTTTTATATTTATATCGCACCTCAATTAGTTGTAAATATTGTTGTATAAATTCTGATTTTGTCAATATTCTTTTATGGTTACTTCCCTCGGTAATCATTCGGAGGGAAGCGATGGAAGCGTCCAGCGCATATTTTCGTGGCAACTGAGGATTATCCGTTCCAAATAAAACATTTGAAGTTGTCACGCTATTTTCTGGAATGATGGATATAGGCGTGTTTATATTATTGATTAATGCGTTACTCGCGGAAGAGAATTGAGATGATCTCGTTTCATTAACGGATAATGATCTTGGTGGTGTATGTGAGATATGAGGATATACGTTTGAAGTGGTACTAGGTTTGCTATGAGGTGGACGAATCATATCTAAAAGTAATTTTCCATCTAAAGGTTTATTATTGTTATCAGTCGTAATGGATGCCGGGTTCTACACAATGAAGTAAGAAAAAGAAGAAATTAAGAAATTTTTGTGATATCAGTCATTCATAAGTCATTATTTTAAAAGTTCGAGTGTGTGTGTGAGATATATATTTTTACAAAGATGATAATGCAACATTAAGAAGATTTACCGCGAGAGGTGGAATAGGTCTCGTGAGTTCAACAATGCTTGCTTTTTGAAATAATTCCCCCAATATATCTTTCCTCGCGTTATCATGCGATTGGATTTCATGATGAGCCGGTGTTGAACTTCTACTGTCAATCGAAGTAGTAGTTTGTTTTATTTCTTGTTGTTGGAGAAGGTCATCAAGATCGATTTGCCTTCCATAAGATGTTCGTTGGGGAAGGGTCGGAAGATTTGAGGAGTAGTGAGAGGATGATTGTAAGGGTAATTGTGGCGGGGTGACAACAGTTTTTGATAATTCGCGACATCTAAAATTACAAAGGTTCGAAATAATTTTAATCCAAGTCGAACTTTTTTTTTTTTTTTTACGATTTAAAAAATGATGAAATAGAAATTCATTCAAAAATTACTTACTCCCACAATCTTTTTCCTATTCGTTCCCGATCTTTTGTTTCAAATACCCAAATGCCATGGATATTATCTACCATCCAAAGCAATACTCAATTACCAAAATCCAGCCACTATTTGTGGGATCTTCATATAACAAAATATTGGCGAACTTCAAAAAAGTCATCAACGATACCATCGTCTGTATGATAAATAATATATTCGTCTTTGAATTCTAGCTCCATGCTGTCTGTTAGTGGTGCCATGAAGTTATCGATACCCAGCCGATTCATCACTATAAATCCATACACAGGTTGTTCGCATCTAAATTTGAAATAAATAATTTAAAAAAAGTTAATAAAATATTTTTATATTGATAGATAGATAGATGTATGTATGTGTATTTATAAAATTATTAAATAAAAACCGTACCTTTTGAACACAAACAACGTGCCTTCTACACCTTTTTTCGTCTATAAAAGTATAATAAAAACCAATGCCTTAAATAATTTAACGCGCTTCTTAACTTGTCGTGTAATATAAAATCAAACATACCCAGGCACCTTGCTCATGGTCAAATTTATATACTACCACATGACTTGAACTATCAACTATTTCAACAATATTTTGGTCATGACGACGCAATACATTCAAGTTGACAGCTTTTCTAGCAATTGGGTCCATAAAAGCAAAATATCCTTTTTTTAAAAAAAAAAAAAGAAAAAAAAAAGGAAAGGGAAAGAAAAATTATCAATTAGACGAGCTGTTTTACAATCTGTATTTATAACTCAAAAAAATAAATATCACATGATCAGTTTTTGTTGCAAGAATAACATTCAAAAAAAAATTTTAAAGATGAACATTTTTAAATATGAAAATAAAAATATAGAATTTAATAATATTTAAAAATTCCGCCCAAACATTAAGAATTTTAAAAAAGAGAATAATAAGTTGACTTTTTCGCTCTATAGCTTTTTTTTTTTTTTCTTCTTTGTTACATTTAAAATTAGCAATAATCATACTAAATTTATTTTTTTTTTATTTTATATTAATATGCACAGAAAACCAAATTTATTAAGTTGTTTTTTTTTTTTAAAAAAAAAAAAAACTCACTCCTTAGGATTTTTGGTTAGGGGAAATTTTACAACAAAATAGTTCATATAAATGCAATGCAATGATCGTTGAATGAACCAAGAGAGAGAAGTTTTTTTTTTTCTTGTTTTTCTTTTTTTACTTCTTAGATGCTTTGACGGCTGCTTTGGTGGTCTTACCCGACTTGTCAACCTTTTCAACACCCTATTTGATTAGGAAGCGAGAGAATTTTCGTTTTTTAAAAAAAAAAAAAAAACATAGTTATACAAGCACGTGTTCATGAATTTTACTAACCTTGATAACACCGACAGCGACAGTTTGTCTCATATCTCTTACGGCAAAACGACCTAAAGGAGGATATTCAGAGAAAGCTTCAACACACATGGGTTTGGAGGGAATCATTTTAACAATAGCTGCATCGCCGGATTTGACGAATTTGGGGTTGTCTTCGAGCTTTTTGCCGGAACGACGATCAATTTTTTCTTGCAATTCGGCGAATTTACAAGCAATATGAGCGGTATGGCAATCCAATACAGGGGCATAACCGGCACCGATCTGACCAGGATGATTAAGAACGATGACCTGAGCTTGGAAGGAAGCAGCTTCCTTAGCAGGATCGTTCTTAGAATCGGAGCAGACATACCCTCGACGAATTTCTTTGACTGACACGTTCTTGACATTAAAACCGACGTTGTCACCAGGTAATCCTTCAACTAATTGTTCGTGATGCATTTCAACTGATTTTACTTCAGTGGTGAGACCGACGGGTGCGAATGTTACAACCATACCGGCCTTGATAACACCAGTTTCGACACGACCTACTGGAACGGTACCGATACCACCAATTTTGTAAACGTCTTGAAGTGGAAGACGAAGAGGTTTATCGGTAGGTCGACTTGGAGGTTCAATAGAATCGATAGCTTCCAAGAGTGTCTTTCCTTTAGTTTTACCCCCTTTGATTTCCTTTTCCCATCCTTTAAACCAGGTCATATTTGAGGATTCTTCCAACATGTTATCGCCGTGCCAGCCGGATATTGGGACGAAAGCAACAGTTTTTGGATTATAACCAACACGTTTGATAAAGCCGGAAACTTCTTTAACGATTTCGTTGAAACGTTCTTCTGACCACTGAGTTGTATCCATCTTGTTAACAGCAACAATAAGTTGTTTTACACCAAGAGTATAAGCCAAAAGAGCATGTTCACGAGTTTGACCGTCTTTGGAAATACCAGCTTCAAATTCACCAGTACCGGCAGCAATAATTAAAATAGCACAATCGGCCTACGGCATCAAAAAAAAAAAAAAAAGAAAAAGAAAAGAGAATTTTAGCAAAACATGCGTCACACAAGTTGTCAAAGCGATCTAATCGCTGGATATAAGATTCATTATAGGCATGATTTTTTTGAAAATCGTATCCTTTTTAGTGTCAAGAGTTAGACTATAACCGAAATAAAATGTAACATCTACCTGAGAAGTACCAGTAATCATGTTTTTGATAAAATCACGATGTCCCGGAGCATCAATGACAGTGACATAATATTTTGGAGTTTCGAACTTCCAGAGAGCGATATCGATGGTGATACCACGCTCACGTTCTGCTTTTAGTTTATCCAAAACCCAGGCATATTTAAATGATCCTTTTCCAAGTTCTGCAGCTTCTTTCCTGTATTATGCAAATCAAATATAAAAAAAAAAAAAAAAAAAAATAGAGAATTATTATTATAATTCAACACAAGCAGAATTCAAATTAATAAAAAAAATGTTGTCAATAAGACGCTTACTCGAACTTCTCTATTGTACGTTTGTCAATACCCTGCAGACAAAAAAAAATTTATCATACAAAATATATTAATTTCTTTGATCAAAATATTTTAAAATAATAACTTAGTAAATAATCTCTGATATCCATACCCCGCACTTGTAAATAAGATGTCCGGTTGTTGTGGACTTTCCAGAATCGACGTGACCAATGACGACAACGTTAACGTGAGTTTTTTCTTTACCCATGCTGTTGAAGATGAAAAAAACAGAAAGGTAAAAAAAAAGAAATGTTTTGAGCAAAAAGTAATAATTAAAGTAATGCTAGTTTTATGGTGATTGCAGAATAGTGTTGTCCCTCGTTGTTTTGATATTGTATTTAAAAGGTTGTTAAAGCTTAGTTTAACTTTATGAAACTTGAAATTACAAATTACTGCGGCCACCACCACACTTTCTCAACGACCATAAATTAGATGAAAATTTTTTTTTATAGATTTTTTATATCTTAAGATAAAGCATCTTCGAAATCTTTTGATAAAAAGTGATACCAACTCAATGGATGGATGTTTTTAAAGATGGATGGAAAAAAAAAACATTTGATACTTACATTATAAGATATTAGCATAAAATAAAATAAAAATACGTAGAGTCGTTACAAGAGGGGAAAGGTGAAGAGGGAGAAAATTTTTAAAGTCAAAGCCGACCCCAATATATACTTATTACTGACTCCCCAAATCAGATCTTTGGTCGGATCAAATGAAAAAAAAAAAAAAAAAAAAATTTAATAAGATCACTAATTGTTGTATTCAACCCTTTTTGTGGCCTTTTTTATTTTTTCGATTGGGGGGACTTTCTATCATTAAGGGATGTGATAGGTTACAAATAACAGAGTTCATATCCGAATTTGGCTGGATCAATACTGCGGTTATTGACCAAATATTAGTCATTACTTAATAAAATGGACCTTTTTTCTTATTGTTCAAAAAGAAAAAAATTTTTTGTATCATTGTTTCACGAATTCATAACAAAAAAACAATTAAACTAAATTGGAGTTGGGCCGGAGAAATCAAATTATAAGTTCGATCATATATTGTATCAGAAAAAAGCATAACCGTTAAGGTCAGACAATACAATCTTTACTTTGCAATAACGGGAATTAATAAAAGTTAAAATCCGTGAGTATCAACCGGAAATACTAAGCCACTCATTTCAGTTAATTTATTTGGCAATTTTTTAGCGTTCACAAATTTCTTTCTAACTCGCCTTAAATCTTTATGAATACTATAATCGTATAAAGCTTGAGTTGTTAAATGAAGGAGATAGCCAAAGAGATCCATTTCTCGATTTTCTTTTCCAAAAGGGCTTAAGACCCATTGTGATATTTGCGTCGCTTCTGAAATCGGTCGACCAACCCCCAATCGGAACCTTGATTAAGATAAGAAATGTTATTATTATTTCCTTTCTTAAACAAATTTTACTAGGAATTAATTCAAATTTGATATTCATACCTAATAAATTCTTTTCCGATTGTAGATACAATGTTTTCCAGCCCTTTATGACCTTTCATAGCTGCTAAATCTCCTCCACCTGTAAATGGAGAGTTAATCCTTTAGAATCTAACTAATCATAAGTAACCACGTATATAAAATTAAATATCGAATGACAAACTTTGAATCATCAGCGCTCCCGGCAAAGTATTCAAGTCATCTGCCACGACCACAAGTTTTTTGGTGTCATTGACGGCAAAGTGTTGTAAAACCTTTCGTACGGCCAACCCGGATTCATTCATAGCTGTTAAAGGTTTCATCAGAATAACTCTAAACGAATTCTATTCGTCAAATAAAAAAAAAAATAAATAAATAAATAAATCGTCCACAAATATTATATTGATGCTTATTGTTAAATCACACACCTCAACAGATCCATTGTTACTGGAAGAGGTAAATATTGTATCATGTATATCAGCTATATATCAATGAATTCTCTTTTTAGTTGTTTTCCTAAAAAAAAAAAAGAAAGGGAAAAGATAGGAAATTCAAATTAAAACTTATGAGTCGCTTGCAAATTTATAAATTTACCAGACAGATCCAAACGTCGATAAAATTTAGGAAGACTTCGTGCACCTTGCGTGACTTGTTCTTGAGCAAGCGCCATTGCATTTGCTAGATAGTCGATAAATATATATCCAGCTAAAATAGAAACGCGTAGGGTGCGATTAAAAGGTTAGATTAACTAGTTGACATGATCGGAAGAAAGCTTTATTCGTATAAAATAGAATAACAACCATTATGACGTGTTGTAGCATATTCAGGTTCTGGGTTTCCAAGACCCACAACAATAATGTCAATTGGTCGGGGCATTTTTTAAAAGTCGGGAAAGGTTTTGAAAAACTTCAAAAATGATGATGTTTATGTCGATCATGCCACTGCCATTATCGTTAATTTAAATGTGGCTAGTTGAATTGCATATTTTTTTTTTTTGTATAAGGTGACTTTTAAGTTTAATCGGGATCCTTTGGTTCATATAGAATAAAAAAAAAGTAATAACATCAGAAAATCATTACGTGAATTCAATGAAAATTGGCAAGCTTTCAAAGCATTTGTTTCGAGTCACTATGAAAAAAAAAAGTGTGAATTAGGCCAAGTTCTGTTTTTATTTTTTTTATTCTGAAAATTTGCGTTACAGCATGAAATCACTGATGATGTCTTTTCTACTTTAAGGAAACTCGAGACAATTTTTATATCTGAAACCTAATTGAATGAAGTCAAATTTGTTATGTATAAACAAACGCTTCTAGACGTAAATCCATGCATATAATCTCGAAAAAAAAAAGGAACAAAGTAAATCAAGGAATTATTATACGATTTACAGCTTTTATTTGTCTTTTTTTGGGTTACAAATTTTTTAATGATGATTTATATTTCTAAATTAAGTAATGGATAGATAGCATATATGCGCAAAAAAAAAATAATAATAAAAAAAAAATAAAAAAAAAATTTTTTAATTAAAATAAAAATAACAAATAAAATTATCCTAGGTATCGTTCAAAAAATAATGTTTAAGGCCAGCATGAATCAATGTTATCAATATTATCTATAAATAAGTATTATTGTATGATCATCACATCAACCATTTGATACAATATGATTATAATAGGACAGTCACTATGATTATTGTCCCCAAACTCATGAAAATAATTAATCTGTAAATAATAAACACACGATTTGAGGAGTTTATTAGTTTCGGAACTTACCTTCTGAATTATCAAGATTTAAAATTACATCAGTGGGAAACTTGGGCTGAGAACGCAGTTAGAACGCCGGCTGTGTGATATCAGAATATCTCCTCCTTTAAAGTTTCTTAATAAAAAATAAATGGAATTTACTCAAACGCCACCAATCATATTAAATGATAAACCGTGACGAAACTGAGCCAAACATTAAACACAAAAAAAAAAATTTTTCATTAAACCACAAAAAATTTTTTTTTTTTTTCTTTGTCCTTATTTCAACGCAAACATATCAGCCCCTCCCTTCCTCCAATAATTTCGTCAACAGTTCTTCCTTCTCAATCTAAAACCTTTCGGGAATTTGTCAAGCATAGCTTTAGGATATATACTCTTCATCCTTTTAACTATACTGATCACTTCTCGTCCTTTACCAATCTGTGCCACCAAGTTGAATCCCGCAGCTTCCTCTGCAACTGCCCACTCTCCTATGTTTGACCCTGGTTAGCTTTTGTGAACTTTTTCGTTCGAGCCAGCCGCTTGCTTAGTCGTCGCGTTTTTTCCTTCCCCCGTCTAGGTTGTCATCTTTTTTACCTGATAGAAATTAATATAGTAAATTACATCCGGACTTGTAGAGTCATTATTATTATTATTATTATTTTATTCGAGGTGAGTCATTTGCATCTAGTAAAAATTTTCGCTTGCAAATCCTTTTTTATACTTTTCAAAGCCGGTGCAAAGCTTTTGTTCCTTGTCTAGCATAAGTCGCTTACGGCGAATTGGGCTAGTGATAATATAAAATAAGTATATATATATATATATATTAATAAAATAAATATATATATATATAAAAATATAGTAAGCATAAAGGGTTCCTTTTGGGGTTTCCTATGAATCAAGGAATTCGACAGAGAACAAAATTTTGTTAAAATATTAATTTTGTAAAAAATAGATTGTTAAACAGTCACTCGCTTATCTACCATCCTTCATTGAAATATGTGAACGATTACTTATATTCAGAGAAAAAGAAGTAGAACTATTTATTCAACTTACCACCGTTCGAACGCACTCGAGATTTATATAAAGACTTAAGTTACTCGGTTTAAGGAAGTTTTCTTCCAGATTTTTATTACTCAAAGAAAGTCTATCTGAAACAATCATCCTCATGCCAGCGATGCGAACTAATCGAAGTTCCGGCCCTATTTCGGCTGGACAACGGTCTCTCATTAACCCTCCGACACTTATTGAGTATAATAATCTTCGTTTCTTGATCGCAGATGCTCCATCAAACAATAACTTAAACCTGTATATTCAGGTAAGAAAAAGATGCATATCTCTATCTGAAATTTTTACAGAACTTGAATCATAAATAAATTTATTATTAATTCATATAATACGTATGTATCTTTTAGGAATTTGAACGATACAATGTTACTGACGTCGTTCGTGTTTGCGATCCTACTTACAACAGTGAGCCTCTCGAAAGTCGTGGAATTAAAGTCCACGTAAATTTTATTCCTATATTATCTATATTATCATTTCGCGTCGAAAATTTCTTAATAATTTTCCTTTTTTTTTTTTTTTTTTCATATTAGGATTGGGTGTTTGGTGATGGTGAAGCTCCGCCATCTCAAATAGTTCACGAATGGCTTGATCTCGTACAAAATCGATTCACCGAGTGTTATGAAGATACGGAAAATAGGCCTACGATCGCTTGCCATTGCGTTGCTGGACTTGGACGGTAAGAAATGGATATCTTTTCTGATGTTGAGTGTTTGGACCATCTTAACTAAAAACGGTATTATCTATTTTAATGAATTTTATTATTAGCGCTCCTGTGTTAGTGGCTATAGCGTTGATTGAGTCTGGTATGTCACCTCTTGACAGTGTCTCATATATTCGCCAACGACGTAGAGGTGCTATTAATAACAAACAGCTCAAATATATTGAGAATTACAAAAGAAGATCCAAGTCCGGCAAATGTGTTATATGTTGACTCTATGATCCTTCTATATTGTTTGAATTTTTTTCTTTTCTCTTGAAAGATAATTTTTTGTGTTTGACAACGGGTTGGGGTTCTAAACAAAGTTGTAAAGGTAGTAGAAATCGTCATATTTATACTAACTGGAAAGGCGGTCGGAAGGAAAATATTAGACGGGGAAGGAAGAAATTTCGTGGTGTTTCATCATCTATCTCCTTATCATCACGTATCCTCTCTTGCCCATCCCGATCACCTAATTCTCAAAAATTATCTATTAACACCACCCTTGTCCACAAAAATTTTTTACATTCATTTCTTTATTATATTCCTTATTATTCCATTAGAACTAGTTCTTTTGATTTAAGAACATCTTATCTTATTGATTTTGTAGTTCATTTTGATAATGGTTAAGAAAATTTGAAAAATGAAAAATAAAGTGAATTACGAAATAGTATCGAATATATCACGTTTCTATTCTTCGAGTGTTGTTGATTTCTTTTAAATTTTATATTCTTGGTTTACACCGGATTTTAATTTCATACCTTGCAGGAATAAAAATTATTATAAAACAATGAAAGTTCTTTCGGTCATAAAGTGCTAACCTTTTATATTATATGCGTGTAAATTCTTTGTGATACAACAAAATTTGACATAAATTTTCGGATTTCCGCAGCTTGTACTAATACTCCTGATAAAAACTTTCGAGCCAGCTTTTTTTAAAAGTTCAAAGATATAACATCAAGACAATTGAACTTATACGAGCTTATAATACGATCAAGAATATAAATGGCAGGTGCTAAAGGACCGCACGGCTTTCCTCTGCCCGGAAAAACACACCTATTTTTCTCCAAGTTTCTTGGAGCTTCCATGGCGTTCTGTATGTAATTTTTTTTATTGATTTTATTTTTATGGTGCAATTTTTAAAAACAATCGTTTAATAAAATGATCTAATTGGGTTTATCTAGGGATATTATATCGAGGAAAGAAAGAAATGCCAATACTCCTGGTTTGATACACTCGTTTTTTTTTATTGAATTTTTTTTTTGGAAAATGTCGATATAGATTCGTTTTTTTTTTTTATCTTTGGATTTATATAGGGACTTAGACATCCTTGGGAACATCATGATCATGACGGAAATCACACCGAATCTCACCACTGAATTAATTCAATCAAAAAACAATTTCAAATATTTATAGAAAGATAAATAAATTCATTTTCGTTGCGAAAAAAAAAAAAAAAACGCATTTTTCTATCTTTTGCTTTTTTTCTTTTTTAAAAAAAAATATATATATATATGAGATTAACATTTTATAACATTGTTTGCTTTCTCATGTTTCTTTCCGTTGATTTATATATAATTATCTCGAACAGGTAAATTGATTTCAAAAGGGGAAAAGAAAAAAAATTACACAACACATTCAATGCATAAAAATATCGTATTATATTGTTGAAGATGTCAAGGAAGAAGTGCTCTTTTTGTTAAAAGAAAACATTAAAAAAGAAAAAAAAGGAATTATATACCAAATCTCCTCCAGTGATAGAGAGAGATTTTTTTTTTTTTTGTTAAATAAATTTAATCAACTTCTTGAGTACTAACACGAGCTTTAGCATTGGTAACTCTAATATTTAATTGTTGAGCCCTTCCAATTATTGCAATTCTCTTTCTTGAACTAACGTTATGAGCAATCTCGGCTGCATATGTTTTGTTATGCATAAGTAATAATTCTAATTCTCTAACATTAGATACGAGAAATTTTTTAAATCCATTCGGCATTAAATGACGAGTTTTTTTATTTGAACCGTAACCAATCTTTGGCATTAGAAGTTGTCCTTTAAATCTACGTCGAACTCGATTATCAATACCCTTTGGTTTTCTCCATGCTTCCTAAAAAAAAAAAAAATTAGATAAATAAATAAATACTTTTTATTTGTAATTAAAAAAAAAAAAAAAAAAGAACGCCAAACAAAAAAAAAATTATATACCTTTACGGATTTATATCGATCTGATTGATGCCTTTTAAAAGGCTTAATGCGCTTCTTGACAATCTTAACCTTCTTTACAGGATTAACCATTTTTGCTAATATATAAAAACAAGGGAAAGTCCCAACTTTTAATTTTGTTCTTAATTATAAGATCGAAGAAAATCAAAAAAAAAAAAAAAAAAAAATCAAAAAAATATATATATATATTTATAATATCTAATACTAATAAATATATAGAGGAAAAAAAATTGAAAAATTTATTTCAATTACAAAGATTCTTTTGAAATGAGTTAATCAACCGATTAGAAAATAATGATGAGATTTGACATTATAACGATAAACCTTTCTATATAATAAATGTCAAATTGTAAAGGTTCTCACCTAAAAAAAAACGGATGGAATCAAAGAGGAGGAAACGAAATAGGAAACGAAAAATATTTAATTTATATATTTTTTTAAACCAATCAGCAGTTATTGATATCGATAAATAATTCTGGCCATCTGTAGGGATTTAACCAATCAAAAAACGTTATATATTTTTATTAACTTACTGACATTTTACAATTTAATAAATATAGTTAATTAAGAGAAACCAGAATTTCTATGATTTAAGAAATTAATTAAATCATACTTTGTAGCAACACCTAAACACCATTTTCTTTCGGAGTCAGTTACAACAGCAAAACTATGTTTTTCAAAGAATTTAGCTAATTCAGACAAAGGGGTATCAGGTGTGATTAATTGATAACGTTCTCTTTTACTATTATTGGTTCTACTTCCGCCAAATGAAAACAACCACTTAGATACAGCATCTTTTGGTGCTGCCTCTCCTGCATCTAATTGAGTTTGTAAGGAGGTTAAAGAAACATACCCAATTAACTTTTTATGAGAATCAATAACAGGTAATTGTGAATATTCTCTTTCTAACATTAATTCAATTGCATGCGATATTGTTATATTTGGTGGAACTGTAACTGCTGCCGGAAGTTGTAAATCTTCCACGCTCGCCTAAAAATCAAATTTAAAATCATCTCAGTTACCTAACTTTCAATTAATTATTAATATATCAAAAAAAATTTTTTTTTTACGTACAGCTCTGTATTTTTCACTTCTTTGGTATTCGAGTTTTCGAATCATCTCGTCATCCATCAAGTCATTCTCTAGAAGCCACTCATCTGATAATAAAGTAGTACTATAATTTCGAGCAGTATCATTTAATATGCAAAGTATACGTGTCGAATTTTCTTGCGCTGTAGACCGTTGTTTGATATATGATAATGCAGCACTCACGACAGACCCAGAAGATGGTCCTATCGTTAAGAGAATTAAGTTTAGTCTTGAAAGAAATAATTAAGAATTGTCTTTTTTATACCTGCTAATAATCCGTCATTAATTAATTTTCTGGACATGGCAAAGGATTCTTGATCGTTAACTCTCATCCATGAATCAATCAAGGACATATCCAAAATGGGTGGTGTAAAATTGTTTCCGATATCTTCAACCTTTCTATCCTATAATAACAAAAAAAAATTTGTAAATGCATATAATCTTTATAAATCCTTAAGTGAAGTTGATCATAACTACTTTTACGGATGACGGATTGATAGGCTTGTTATCTTGTATTCTTGAATGTTGTGGCTCAACGGCAACTACCTATTTACGTGACAAATTCAAAAATAAGATGAGATATTTTAAAGTGAATGGACATTACCTAAATCGGACTAAAAATTATATCAAGTTTCTACCTTCAATCCGGATATTCGAGATTTGAGGTTCTTTGCAAGCCCAGTAATTGTAGCTAAAAAATTAGAACCATAAAATTCATTTTTATCACTTATATATATAAATATTTTGGTGTAAATAAAAAAAAAAAAAATACTTCATACCTCCAGATTCTACGCCAACTACAAGCACATCTAATTTTCCTTCAATTTGTGTATAAATTTCTTCTGCAGTTTCTTCATGATGTACTTTAAAATTACTTTGACTATTGAACTAATACGTTAGAATTGATTAGATAAGTTTTTACTAAAAAAAATTCTTTTTTATCAAATAATTACCTCGTCAATTACAATTGAATTTGCAATTTCATTTGATAATTTTTTAGCCAAGCTAAAATTGCTTTCCGGAGCATCATAATGAGCTTCATTTTGTGTTCTTATAATTTCGACTCCTAATGCCTTTAAAATATGGATTCGATCTATTGATGTACGTTCAGGTACAAGAACTAATGTTTTATATCCTTTTTTATGAGCTAAAAGTGCAATGCTTATCCCTATATAATAAAATTTAAATAAAATGATTAAGATTTAAATAAATATGAATTAATTTATTAAATTGCAATACCTAAATTGCCACTTGTAGGGATTATTAAAGTTGTTTTAGAGTTTAATTCCTTTTTTTTTTCAACATCTAATCAGATCATATATATAATGTATGTAATGTATGATATAAATGTCAAGTTTTCATCGACATAAGCTAAATTAATTTATTTTATACCTTCTAATACTCGTTTCGCAACTCTATCTTTAATACTTCCAGATAATGAATTCAAATATTCCAATTTGGCCAATAATTCAATGTTTGATAATTCAATTGAAGAAACGAGTGTAGGTAACGATTTTATTCGAACTATTGGTGTATTACCAATTGAAAAAGATATATCGTCGAATATTGGTGGTGGAGGACGCGAAATAGACATTTATAACAAAATATTTAATATTTTTTTTTTATTGTTAAAATTATATACGATCAACAAATTTAGTGAGGGAAAGGAACATTAAAGTATAAAGAAGGGAAAGAAATAAATTCGTTTTTTATCTTACAGAGAGAATTGATTTCCGAAAAAAATCTTAAACCCAAAATTACTAGCGGACATCTCGATTTTGTCTCATCTCAAAATGCGACGATCAGTTGTCAGTTTTATCCATAATTAATTTATGTTTGAAATCATTAGCATTGATTAAATCTACTAGTATTTAAATTGACAATAAAATGAATTTTCTGTTATAATTCAACATATATTATATACTTTTTTTATCTATTCCTTAGATTGGAAGGAAACTAAAAATTTTTTTTTTAAATTAATATAAATATATATCATAATAATTTTAAATTATAAATTTTATTATTAACTTTATAATAATCTTTATAATTACAATTTTATAAATTATAAGTAGTAAAGTGATTTAATTATTACATTTTTCAAAATTATTGATAGTTTAAGACTATCACTAATTTTGAAAAATGCAATAATATACGAATTTATAATTTTAAAAACTTCTTAATAAACTTACTAATAAAATTAATAAAAAATATTTTAAACTTTATAATAATAATTACTTTTTTTTTTAAGTTTACAGGCAATTTTTCTGTTAAACAATTTAAAGTTAAAATATTTTTATTTATTTTAAAAGTATTTTAACATTTTTATTATTATTATTATTATTCTTATTTAAATTATTAGTTTATCTTTTATCAAATAATTTACAGATTAAAAATAATATTATTTAAAAAATAAACAATCTTTTATATATAATATCAATATTTATTATTAATAAATATATTTAAAATATTTAAAGCTAATGAAAATGTAAAGAATTCTCTTAATATTTTGTTTATTATAATTATTTTCTTAAAAACCAATAATTTTTTTTTTGTATAAAGTTTATCTCTTAAATATTTTTTAGAAAAAATTTTTAATTAAATAATAATTACATAAAAAAAAATATATTTATTTATATATATTAATTTGATATAATTATAATTTTAATAAATAATAATTAATAGCAATCAATAAAATATTTAAATACTTTTAGTAAAGTAAAAAAAAAAATTTAGAATTAAAAAAAAAGGAATTCAAGAAGTTATTTAATTATAGTCTTGATTAAATTCTTTCTATATATCACTTAAAACTTTTCATAAACTAACTTAACTTAGCTTACTATTAAAGTAGTTACTTTATTTCAATTTAGCTTATCTTAATTTGTAACAATCAATTAATAATTTAAGTTAAATCAATCTGAATTCTAAGCTAATTTGTTTAACTTAAATAATTTGATAAAGTATTCTAAAATGATTCTATCAAAAAAAATGTTTTCAAAATAATTCCTTTTAAAAGAAACATTTCTAGAATGATTCTTATTAAAAAATATTTATGAAATAATTTTATTAAGAAAAATATTTTGAAATAATTACAATTAAGAAAAATATTTTAAAATGATTCTTTTTGAGAGAAATATTTATAAAAGTAATTTTATTAAAAGAAATAATTTTAAAATAATTTTCTTAAAAAAGTATTCTGATAGTATTTTTTAAAGAAAATAACTTTTTGAACGTTTTTTTTGAAAAATACTATCAGAATACTTTTTTAAGAAAATTATTTAAAATTATTTCTTTTAATAAAATTACTTTTAAAGATAATTTTTTTAAAAAAAGAATTGCTTTTAAGACAGTTTTTTAAATAAAATTACTTTTAAAATATTTTCTTTAAAGAAAATTATTACTTTAATTTTTTTTGAATAAATTGATTATATCTAAAAATATTTTTTTTAATAAAATTACTTTCAATCTTTTTTTTTTTTGAAGTGAATCACTTTTAAGAATTTTTAAAAAATTTTTTTCAGAAGTATTTCTTTAAAAGAAATTATTTTTAACATTTTTTAAAAAAAATTATTTCTAAATAAGAAAAATTCTTCTAAAGATAAAAAAATAATTTTAAAACTATTTCCTTTAAAAAAAATGTTATTAATATATTTTTCTTTAAAAAAAATCTCTAAAAATATTTATATCAAATATAAAAATCACTAAAGCAGTTTTTTTAAAGAAAATATTTTTTGAAATATTTTTAAAGACAGTAAAAGTAAACTAATAACTGAATTATATTATCCCTTAAAGCGTAGGTATAAATTGGCTATAAAATATTATAAAAAAATTATAATATTTTAATATCTAATGATTAT